TCTCCTTGTCTCTCTCCTCTCTCTCCTTTTCTCTCTCCTCTCTCTCCTTTTCTTTCTCTCCTCTGTCTTTCTTTCTCTTTCTGTCCTTCTATTTCTACCTCTCCTTTCTCACCTTTTCTCTCTCTCTCTCTCTCTCTGTATCTTTCTCTCTTATTTCTATTTTGCTTCTCCTTCTCTCTCTGTCTACTACTCTCTCTGTCCATCCCTCTCTCTTTCACTGTCTCTCTCTGTGTCTCTCGCTCTCTGCAACTCTTCCTCTCTCTCTCTTTGTCTTTCGCTCTTTATAACTCTCTCTTTCTCTCTCTCTCTCTCTGTCCTCGCTCGGCCCATCTGTCGTACCAGCCCACGCACACCCTCACACTCTGCTGCGTGTCTTCACACTCAATCAGCGGTGATAATAACTGGGCTTGTGGTGCGAGTGCGAGCGCCGTGCTGAGAGCGTCCGATCGATCCGGCTCTCTGTCGATGAGGATGATGTTTACTTCCGCTCTACCGAGGACGTTTCACTTAAGGGTGAATTCTCAATTCATTAAAGGGCCATATCAGAGAAAAAGCAGAATTCTCCTTGCTTTCTATAAATAAGAGTTTTCTAAACTCTATAGACATGGTTAAAATTCTCGAAGCGTGCCATCACTAACAGCCCATTTCTGTTCATCATGGTTGTGATGTCATAACCATAAACCCTGTTACAAACAACCTAACCTTCCAAAGATCAACGTTTCTGAAAGAAACTGCCGAAGTCACCCTGGGTTACTTTTTGAACTAGACACAAAGGTGCTGTTCACGTTACCAGGTTAATGTGACCAACCAAGAATGCCTTCAAGCCTCTTGTAAAGGCTACGTTCACATTAGCAGGTTTAAGTGGCACATATCTGATTTTTTGCCCTAATGTGACTCAGATCTGATGTTTTCAGGGCTGTGTGGACACAAATCTGATCTTTTCAAGTCCGACCTGAGGCACTTTCACATGTGGTCCTAGATCGGATACGTATCCGATTCATGGCCATGCGACCATAATGTGACGCTCCGATCGGAATTCATGTGCTTTTTTCCCCACTGCGCGTGACCATCATTCAACGTTACCATGGCAACAACGCAGAACAGAAGTTAAAGCCTGTAAACGGTGGAAAAGCAGCTCATCTCACCTTTTTCTCCTTCGTCTCGCTCTAATAATGAAGCTGAGAGCTGATCAGAGTTAATGATCTTCTCAGCGAAGCTCGTTCTGCTCGTTAATTTGTGCAGATGATGAACGTGATTCATTCAGGTGATGTTACTGAGTAGGATGTGGTCATGCAGGTCATTTCAGAACGTCGGTTTATCACATTAATGACAGATTTGAGTCACTTAGCTAAACGAGTGTGAAGCATCGTGTCAGAGAGCTCGGATTTAAGCAAAAAACGGATTTGAGCAACGAGGCTTGGAATGTAAACGTAGCCAAAATGGAGCAAAGGTTTTGGCACCCCAGGAAACACTTTTTTGATCTTTTATGTTCCTCTACAGAGAACAACCTGCACATTTTAGTGCACAGTGACGTTTAAATACATAAAATGCAGCCTGCGCAAGAGTTATTTTTATATTTTATGATTTATTTAAACTCACACTAAAATTGTTCTTTAAAATCAGCAGAAAATGCCTTAATTAAATAGGTTCCCTGTACAGGATGTTTCTTTCACTCAGAAAATCAACAAAAAATGATTTAATTGGTTTTTTTTACTTGTTTAAAGTTTTAAAGAAAGGTTGGAAAATGGTCAGGTAGAAATGAATCATGACTGCCCACACAAACACTGAAAGTGGACATTTAATTAAAAAATAAAATGCTGGAAAAATTTAGCACACAGGCCCTTTAAAAGCTTTTCCAAGCGCAGATGTTGCCAAGTGTATAAACAGTTCTGCCAGTAATTCAATAATTCAGCATAAACAGAAAGCGAAACCATTATTTATTAGGTAGATTTTATTTTTTGCTGTAGAAATATAATTTGAGATGCTCCTAAACTCAAACTCCTCCCACCACCACCATGCTCCCGCTGTACATCACACAATCAATTACGACCTCTTTTTGTCTCCGCTGACAAATCACCCCTCGCTGTGTTTTATTTTTGGGTCCGAAAACCTCTCAACATGACGGCCATCTGCGATAGCCTGTGTCCGAGCCAAGAGAGGAAGCCGCCACGTTTTCGGCCTTGTTTTAATACAGCGAGCTCACGGAGAGATACCGGAGAGCCGTGAGCCGCGTTCGAGTGGCCTGTTCTAGGAAATGGGTTTCTTAGATGTCTCGAGTTCACATTTAGGCAAACTTAAAGGGGCATTCTGGCCTCAAACTGGCCCATTTTAATATGTCTGTTGTGTTGTGTGGTATTGTTTGGCACAGCATTGTAGGGCTGAAAGATTAATCGCTTTTAGATTGAAATCGCAATTTAAGCTGCAGTTTTAAATCATAGCCTACACTCTTAAAAAAGAGAGTTCTTTAAGGTTCCCCAAAACAGATGGTTCTTTAGTAAAGACAGCCATTCTCTATAGAACCATGAACACTCAATGTCCCATTTGTATGCTTAAATGGTTCTCTGCATGGTGAAATGGTTCTTCAGATTGATGTGTTCTGTGTAGCACCAAAAAGGGTTCTTCTGTTGTTTACAACATCAAGCTTGCAACAGTAGAACATTTTGGTGCTAAAATAAACCTTTCTCAAAAAGGTGCTATATGGAGCCATCTATAACACATTCACTATAAATCTAAAGAACCATTCAAAGAACTTCTTAAGCATGCAAATGGAACATTGAGTGTTCATGGTTCTACACAGAACCATTGTCCTTACTAAAGAACCCTTGAAAAACCATCTTTAAGTGAGCACAATAGCAAAAATTTAAGTTTTAAGAGAGGAAGCTGCACCTAATAAGAGCTTATGAGCTGCCTGTGGATGAGTTAGACCAATCAGAGGCAACCAAACCTCCATGTGTTGTGACATCACAACCACAGCTTACTGGCGGTTTGGCACAGTACGTTCAGGGGTCGAGCCTCAAGCCAGAAAAGGTGGACATTCTGGTTTTCTTGGCCAAAATAAATCAGGCCTGAATCTCAGTTTATAGAAAAAAATCACAATTTAAATTGCAGTTAGAAAAATCGCGATTAGATATTTTCCCCAAATCGTTCAGCCCTGCAGCATTGTGTCCCTCAGCCTCGTCAGTTTGGCAGAATTTACGAATGTATCCACTTATTCTTATGCCTTATGATTCTTTGAGTAACCTTATAAATAGAGCAGGCAATATGTTAAATGCTAATGACGTCCTGACATGACACAAATGTGGAAATCAATAAAAATATATCAAATCTTTATTAATGGGATGCTTGAAAGCCACGCCGATGTTTGTAATCGATCAGTCGACAGAAACCTGAACCTGCAGGAGAGAAATCCAGAAAAACCTATTTCGCCTACAACGATTACACACGCTAATAAAGTCACGCTAATAAAGTTTAAACTCATTTAAACTTTTTAATTATGTTTGCACCAAAAGTCAGGTGGAAAAACCATAAAGCAATGCTGTTACGCAGCAGTGCCCAATGTAGAAGTCTATTTTTAAACCAGAGCTACGATGCTCCTCATCAAGGTATGTTAGCCTCAAGCTAGCAGGTTGAACTCTGCGCTATAATAAACCGGATATTTTAGCCGTAATCTTGAAACACAGTGGTCACGTGAAAATAAAGCAGATATAATTTTTATTTATTCCTTCATCATTGTTCTCCGACTACAATACCCAGGATGCAACCACTGGAAGTCCCTGTGGTGTCATCCTTACTGCTAGCCTAGCCACTGAGATATGGGCTAAGAAATACAACCAAGCTAACGTTAGTGTAACGTTTACCTCAGTTTTTGAACAAAAGCGCATTGAAAACAGCAGTTCCGTCTTTATTCAGCACAAAATAGACACCGGAGACCAGTTTTTTACCCTTTTTTCCTCAAAAAAAGAAGCTAAACTGAGGTAAAGTGTCTACGTGGTGAGGTAGACCTTGCTAACTTTAGCTTAGTTTTAGCTTAGCTTTAGTTTTAGTTTGTTGTGCTCCTCATGTCGAGTCATTTCTGACGTTTGAGTAATCAGATTATAAGCCTCTCTATTGTAATGATTTGAGAACTACTGAAGCACTGAGTTACCACTGCGGTAAGATGTTCAGCTTCCTAGCAGCAACGTTAGCCAGCAAGCTACCTGGCTTCCTTCTGCGTTAGCCAACTGGCGGGAAACCTTCACCCCACCTTCAAGATACGTCATCTACGGTGGATTTTCTTATTTTAGAGCAGAACATCTCACTCGAGACCCCTGCTGCACAGCTGTAGAGAAACTGTAGTGATTGAGTGACTGAATGATAGACTGAGGGAGTGATGGATCCATGCGGGTGGGATTTGTCATTGGAGACAGTAGGAGGTCATATTGATTGTATGATGTTCAGTAGGATCAGTCATGCTAATGGGAGCAGATAGTAGAGAGGGTTCAGTCAAAAAAAGACATTTTTAACAAGAATACACATCGTTTTTTTAGGTTCACGACATTATTTGATTTATCTGAACATTAAATATTATAGGCTTGACCTGCTTTCGGACCCCAAGAGATGGGCTCAAGCTGTAACGGAGATGACTTTTCAAGGTCAAGTTCAAGTTCACACATTAAAAAAAAAAACAATGTATAATTCTGTTTTGGTGTCTACCGGGTCTTCCAGGTGGTTGTTAGGAGTCACATTTTCATTTGGAGCTTTTAATATTTTTTTTGAACTCCAGTTTTGTTTTTTTCACCTTTGACTTTCTCTTTCTTTATGCAAGTGGCTTATCTCATATCTCACAAATATCTCCTGAAAAATGAATAACTTGTGCTTAATGGCTGTTTTGAATAGAAATGAAATACATAAAGGATGGTCTCTGACTTTTGCACAGTACCGTCGATAAAGTCACTGGATCACCACAAAATAAGCAGAGGAAGGCAGAAGATCATGTGCTGTATTCTGTTTGTGTGTGACAGATGTTCCTGACCGTGTACCTCAGCAACAATGACAAGCACTACACAGAAGTGCCTGTTACCCCGGAGACACTGTGTCGGGACGTGGTGGACCTGTGCAAAGAGCCCGGCGAGACGGATTGCTACCTTGCGGAAACCTGGAGAGGTTCAGGTGAGTGGCCCCCTGATATTACCACCAGTGTTTATAGAACACAAAATACTGCGGTCCCCAGACACAAAATCCTTCCTTCTTGCTATTTTTGGCTGACTTTAAAAGAATTACACAATTTTCCACTAGATGAAGTCATTTAACAGTGACAGCAAGCAGGTTTAGTGTGCAAATTTAGCTTTTTTAGAATTATAGCTATGCACCTCACATTGCTAGCAAACAGTAAAAGTCAGTAGTCACCCAAATAGCTTGTATGGTCCCAAGAACACTATACCCACAGTCACGTATGAAGGTAAGAGCATCAAGATATGGGTGGCTTTTCTGCGAAACAAATCTTTAATCTCCTGAGTTGAAATCCCAGTGAACATTTACGGAGGATTTTGAAATTGCATGTCTATCAGAGGGACCCTCGTAACCGTAGGTAATTGTGGATGGTTTGCCAAAAGGAGCAAGCCAGAACTGTGCCACAATGTTACCATAGAGGTCTCTAAGCTATAATTGCCAACAATTTGTTTTTTTGTTTTTTTTTACTCTCAAAAAATTACATTTTTAAAATCTTTGTTTATGCTTGTAAATACATATTTTTGGTTGATATTTATATGTACAAAGTCAAAAAACATTATGTGTGATTTTGTGATGATGCATTGGAAATATATTAAATAAAAAAAACAAAACTGTATTTAGAGAAAAGATTTGGGTGATTATTGACTTCTAGAATAGCAATGTTAGCTTCTCAGCTCCAGCGCTAAGCTAAAGAAGCAAAATTTGGACTCCAAACACTTCTTGGCTGCATCTGGATTAAGTGGAAAATTATGTAAACTTGATTTTATATTGCCTGTCAAAAGTTTGGCCTTTCAAAAAGTCATAATAAATAAAATGACCTAAAATGACTTTGAAAATGTTTTCAGAGTTGTGTTTGGATACACGCAACTGACTTTATGTATCTAGTTATTACCCTCCTATTCTGCATACACAGTGATCTACCTTTAGGCCACACATTTCCCAAGAGGAACTTTTGGAATCGGTCCATTCTGCCAGCTGGCCTGGGCAAGAGTGCTTTGACTAAACAAACGCAAATGGTTTTCAGCTGGAACTATCTAAACAGCATCTTTCACCATAAAGTTTCCCCAAACAGATCAAGGCCTGGTTTCCTGAGCCCATCACAGCATCTCAGTGACCTTAACTTTTAGAGAAATGTGTACAAAGTAAACATTCTTTCTTTGTTGGTTGTAATAGTTTTTATTTGTGCGAATATTCTTAAGTATTTTAGGTTTAATGCCACAGCCCACCATTTTCTCGCCTGTCATGATGTCAGCATTCATCCTCACTCACACCTTTTAAGTGTTTAAGCCACCTTCAGGCCAAAAGGGTTTAAATATGTGCTTTTAACAATTTGCCATCTCTTTTTATAACAGAGCGTGTGATTGGTGACAGTGAGAGGATGATTGAGGTGCTGCAGCGCTGGGGGCAGCAGAGGGCTGAGGTTCGATTCTTCCTCCGCCACGATCAAGCGCCCAACCACGAAACAGGTGGGAGACACAAAGAGGGGAAGCAAAAAAATACATTGTGGTAGCGCTGTCAGCTCAGTTGACCTACTGTGGGTTTTTGCTCAGGATGTGAGATTTAAGGATTGTGGTTTGTAAGTTTGAGTTTAGAAGATTGAGTTTAGAGGTTAGGTTTGAGAGGTTGACCTCGGAAGATTAAATTTGAGAGCTTGGGAGGTTTGAGGGAGTTTGGGCGTTTGAGAGGTTGAGTATAGGTAATTGAGTTTTTCAGAAGAGTTTGGGAGGTTGACTTTGGGAGACTGGGAAGTTGATTTTGGGAGGTTGAGTTTAGGGAGTAGCGTTTCAGTGGTTGAGTTTTGGGGGTTGACTTTTCAGGCTTAAGTTTAGGGACATTAACTTTTGGAGGTTGCAAGGTAGAGTTAGGAAATTTGGGAGATATAAAGTTGATTTTGAGAGGTTGAGTTTAGGGAGCTGAAATTCAGTGGTTGAGTTTTCAGGGTTGAGTTTGGGAGGTTGGAGACTGATTTTGGGAGGTTGACTTTGGAGGGTTGGGTTTAGAGAGCTGACACTGGGAGGCTGACTTTGGGAGACGGGGAGGTTAGTTTTGGAAGGTTGAGTAGGGAGTTGAGTTTAAGTGGTTGAACTTTGGGGAGTTGAGTTTTCAGGCTTAAGTTTAGGGACATTTTCAGAGGTTGAGAGGTAGAGTTTGGGAATTTGGGAGATTGTAAAGTTGATTTTAAGAGGTTCAGCTTAGGGAGCTGAAATACAGTGGTTGAGTTTTCAGGGTTGAGTTTGGGAAGCTGATATTGGAAAGCTGACTTGGAGACTGGGAGGTTGATTTTGGGAGGTTGAGTTTATGGAGTTGAGTTTAAGTGGTTGAACTTTGGAAGTTGAGTTTTCAGACTTAAGTTTAGGGACATTTTTGGAGGTTGAGAGGTAGAGTTTGGGAATTTGGGAGATTGTAAAGTTGAGTTTGGGAGGTTGAGTTTAGGGAGTTGAGGTTCAGTGGTTGAGTTTTGGGGGTTGAGTTTTCAGGATTGAGTTTGGGACATTAACTGTTGGAAGTTGGGAGGTTGAGTTCGGGGAGTCACACTTTTAGTGGTTGACTTTTCAGGGTTGAGTTTGGGAGGTTGGGGGATTAATTTTGGGAGGTTGAGTTTAGGGAGTTGAGTTTTAATGGTTGAGTTTGGGAGGGTACCCTTAGGAGGGTAACTTTGGAAGGTTTCAGAAGTCTGGGAAGTTGAGTTTGAGAGGTAGACTTCAGAAGGATGGGAAGCTGACATTGGGAGATTGACTTGGGAGGTTGGGAGGTTGACTTTAGAAGGTATACTTTAGGAGGTTGACTTTGGGAGGTTGAGTTTGAGGGGTTTAGCCTGGCAGGTTGAGTCGTGGAGCTGAGTTTAGTTTTCAGAGTAAACGCAAGGAATGAAAGAGTGGGGAGCTGGGAGATGGATTTGGGGGCTAGGTTTGGGGATTGAGTTTGGGGGGTTAAATGTGGGGGATTGAGTTTAGGAGTTTGGAGTCTGAGTTTTGATGTTTTGGAGAATGCAGAAAGTAAACATTTTATGGTTCATGGCTTTTGGTGACCCTAGTTAAATTAAATCACCCAACAAAAGGTTAATTGTGACAGAGGAATCTTCATTGGTGTTGCTTTTATGGCCAAAGCTAGGCCCACTCAGTGTCTAGAAAAATGGCTCAATGCACCCTGTTAAAATTCAGGTGCTGAGCAGTGGCCCTGGGATGTTTAATTACATGCATGACTGGAATGGCTGTCTCTTCCGAAGCTCTATTCATAGAGGGCGACATGCAATATTAGCTGTCTGTGGACGATCTGCATGAGTGTTTAATGAAACAGGATTTTGTTTAACCAGGAAAAATCTACTGAGGACATGTTCTCATTCAGGCAGGCTGTGTACAGCCATATGGAGGTTGGACCGCATCCGGACGCTGTGCATTGCCAAGGCAGTCATCCATTCAGTCACACACTCGCATGCCAGACAGTGCGGAGTCAATATGGGTACAGCTATTTGACCAACAAGGCAGCGGAAGGAGGGGGTTTACACAGATTATATCGCCAGGTTATGTCGGGATGCAGTGTGTTAATGCGATGGTTCAGCCAAAAAACATTTTTACACAGTTTCCCTCTTGATGCTGATCAACCAAGACATGTTTGGTGTCTCAAGTTTCCTTCTTTAGTTTAGTACTGCGCTCAAACCGTGTTGAGCTGTTAAGGAACATGATGTAAGTCTGGACAAATTTGAGGTTTTTTTTGGCTATTTAGTGTATTTTGTCCATGTAGCAGACATGCTAAGATATATCTACATGCAGTCAGAGTTGAAAATCCATTTCGGACTTTTAACTGACTTGGACTTTAGACTAAAATCCTTTTGCTTTGAGTGACCCTTTACCTTAAGTGTGTTTATTTTATTTAAACAAATGATAGAACTTTCCATTTTGTCACTACCAAAGCAATCATAACACTACCGAAACTTTACCAAATGTTTCAGGTGTGACTGTTTTGTGACAATTTTAGCTCATTTTGAGCAGAACTCAAAAACATGGCCAGTACATGACTAGCAAACACAGCTGTGAACAGTTATACACACATAAAGTCTTTATATTTTTCATTAAAACACAAAAGATTACCTAATTGCAAAAAAAATGTTTCGGGACTGACAATTCTTCAGTAGTGATTTCCAGACTTTGGGACACATTTACTTCAAAACAGTGGGATCTAACTGCTCACCATGTGGTCATGAGGGACAGGGATGCAGCCTCACTTCCTGCTCTAAAATGCAGTGGCGTGGCTAAAATAAGGCCCTGCCTACAATCTAAAACTCTGTGTTTCGGTAGTGACATGGAAATTGGGGACAGCATTTTTTGTTTAAAAATGAAACTCATGATGAAGTATTTTCACTTTAAAAGAAATACAAAGGATGTTTTTTAAAGGAGAAAAAAAACCAAAAATATTTAGTGTAATTTTCACAAGTTGAAATTTACAGGTTTGGGATATGATAATTTTATATATATTTAGTTTCCCAGATAGCGAGCATATATCGGTCTGCTGGCTTGATAAGGTCGGCACCCCTACTAACTGTACGCCACTGCTGGTCCACCCTCGGACCTCCCAGATTACTGCCCTGCATACAAGCTCTACCTAATCTTTAATCTCTTCAAACAGATTTTAAATGCACAGACTTTTTATTTTAGAGAAAAAACTAAGACAAATATTACAAACTGAGAAAGAAAAAATAATGACTAGGCCTGATATGAAATGATTTTATAGAAAATGTTGTTGCTGAAACTGCTAGATTGAAATTACCTACTAAACTACTATACTAAGTATAACTAAAGAAAAGAAAGAAGGAAAAAAGTACATTGGACTGTGAGTGGAAAATGAGTGATAGTAAGTGGAATTTTGTCTAATACTATGCTTAACCACCAGTGGACTGCCTGGAAAATGATGAGCAAAACACCACTGGACCGCCAGCTTTGCCATCAGTGGGCTGACAGTGGTCCACTATCCTCTTGCTATCAGGATTATGTCTCAATTAATGCTTTGGGTTTAAATAGATCATAAAATAATCCTTTAAAATATCTCAGGTGTGAATATTTAATTGTTATATATATATATATATATATATATATATATATATATAGAGAGAGAGAGAGAGAGAGAGAGAGAGAGAGCTCTGGAATAGCATTCTAGAGAATATTAGGAATTCAAGATTGGTGTAAATCCAGATTAAAAAATTTGATTAGCATAGCATCTGTGCCTAATATTGTGGCTTATTTTTGCCTATTTTCGTCCCTGGGCCCAGTAGCTACTAGGATAACACACACAGGCGCTCTGAAGTCCTTGTACTGAGGGGGTCATCTGAGGGTAATGAGCACAGACCAGCTCTGACCACTGTGTGTGTGTGTGTGTGTCAACCCACACCACCCTCTTGTGCCAAGCACTAGGATGTACATTACACACACACACACACAGCTGGATGGGTCAGCGCTTCCATTTCATTTCGTTTCCAAGAAAAAACAGAGTTTATAAACCAAACATTAAACTCATACTTACACATTAGCTCAGTGTTGTCTAAGCACCTCCTGAGGAAAGTGCTGTGGGTGTCCAGATGAATTTCTGCTCACACTGGGCTGGTGGACAGTGTCCACTACAGCTGTCGCTAGACTAATGCCCATTTCCATGAAAGCTAGAAGGCTTTGGCCTCGGTCATAAGCCGCTGAGAATCAGAGAGTTTGTTTTAAGAGCCGTCTGTTTGCAGGTTTGCTAATGCTTTTAGCCTTTTACGCAATGAGAACAGGCCGAATGCCTCAGGATAAAGAAGTTCAGGACAATAAATATGTACAGAATTTTCCCCTTTTCCTCCAAATGTGATTGATCAACTCGGACACGTTTGGTATCTGAAGTTTACTTCTTTAGTTCTGCACTGAAGCTACGAGCCTAATGTGGCTAACAAGAAATGGAAGTAGGCTAATATGCTACCACTGTTTTTAGCTGTGTGACAGACATTTCATCCATTTTTTAGATGACAGTATGTCGATTATTAGATTATTTATCTCAGTGTGATTTATAATATATAGTTCAGGCGATGATGATCAGTGTGGAATAACCATTGCCCTGAGGATAGTGGAGCACTGTTGGCCCACTAATGGCAAATCTGGCGGTCCACTGGCGTTTTGCTCAGCGTTTTCCAGGCGGTCCACTGGTGGTTAAGCATGGTATTAGACAAAATTCCACTTAACACTCATTTTCCACTCACAGTCCAATTTACTAATTTTTCCTTCCTTCCTTTCTTTAGTTACACTTTGTAAATTAGTTTAATAAATAATTTTAATCTAGTTCAGTTTCAGCAGCAACATTTTCTATAAAATCATTTTATATCAGGCCTAGTCATTATTTTTTTCTCTCTCTCATTTGTTTGTAATATTTGTCTAAGTTTATTTTTCAAAATAAAAGTCTGTGTGCATTTAATATCTGTTTGAGGAGATTAAAAACTAGTTAGAGCTTGTATGCAGAACAATAGTCTGGGTGGTCCGAGGGTGGACCAGCAGTGGCAAATAGTCAGCGGGGTGCCGAACTTATCAAGCCAGCGGACCGATATATGCTCGCTATCAGGCTGGCTGCTAGCTACATTAGCCTCATAGCTGTACTTTCATTCAATTTGAAATTTCAGGTAACACAGTTGTACTTTCAAGGTGACCTTGTAAGTTGCCACAACATCATCATTTTCGTCTTCATATGATCTCCAGGAAATGTGATTGTCAAAATAATAATGTACATTTTTCATAATCTATCATGAATGAATTGTTTTAAGCATTAGATGTTAAACACACATTAATGTCAAACGAATAAGAGTTTTGAAGTATTTTGATGATTATATTTAATGTAAAGTGTACTTACCCAGATAGCAAGCAGATATCAGTCTGCTAGCTTAATAAGGTCGGCACCCCACTGGCTGTTTGCCACAGCTGGTCCAACCTCAGACCACCCAGACTACTGTCCTGCATATGAGCTCTAACTAGTTTTTAATGTCCTCAAACCGACTTTAAATGCACAGAGACTTTAATTTTGGAAAATAAACTTACTTAAAAAATACTAGGCCTGATATAAAATGATTTTATAGAAAGTGTTGTTGCTGACACTGTGCTGGATTAAAATTATTTACTAAACTAATTTACAAAGTATAACTAAAGAAAGGAAGAAGGAAAAATCAGTAAACTAGACTGTAAATGGAAAATGAGTGATGATAAGTGGGATTTTGTCTATTACACTGCGTAACCACTGGTGGACCACCTGGAAAACGCTGAGCAAAACGCCAGTGGACCACCAGCTCTGCCATCAGTGGGCCGACAGTGGTCCACTATCCTCCTGCTATCAGGGTCTGGTGGGCTGGGATAGCCAAAAATTCTGTTTTCTAAACAGATTTTTATTAATTTTCTTTTAATTAAAGAGGTTTTTGTGAAGGAGATCCATGTTTAAACGTTTTACATGTGTGTTCACCTCGACTGGAGTAAATAGCCTAGCTATTACTTTAAAGGCTCCTATTAGCAGTTTTTCTAGCTCTTGTACGCAGTGAGAACAAGCGCTAAATGTCTTTTTTCTCTAAAAAGATTCTCCAGCCGTGTCTTTGAGTGGTGTCAAGTTTCCATGAAAGATCCTCTGTCACCATTAAGCCACAAAGCTCCACTGTTACACAACAGTGAAAGTGATATCAGTCCTGTGCGTGTAGCTTAGCGGCACTTCATTTTTTTCCCTGTCAAACAGAATTATGGACAATTACAGTAATCCTGGTTCATGCTGTACTGCTCTGAAAGCCTCGGTCTTGTGTAATCGGCCAATCTCTGATTAGCCCCCCTGCAGGCCTGAACACTGTGTGACTGTGACCCACGTTTTTCACTCACAGCCAGTTTATCTAGTAACCCACATTAGCAGTGGCGCTAACCATGCTGGTGAGGGAGTTGTGTAACTGTGTTTGCTGTAGAGGGTTTTTTTTTGGGCTTTTTTCTCACCTGGTCACTCAGCCATACATTGTCACTTGCTCCGTGGAAATCCACAGTGCATGACCTGTGCTGACAGAGCCATAGTGGAGGCCGAGTGAAGGCGAGACCGATGCTAACTAGAATCACAATGTTGAAACAGGCTGGGGAATCGAGTCTGGTGGCACAACATGTGGAATAATTTGATATAAACTTAGCATCCACTTTATTAGAACCGTTTTACCTCAGAGTTTGTTCGATAATGAAGTTATTCAGCTTTTTTTTCAATGAACGAAGCTTTAGCATTAGCTAGAAAACACTCGCTAATATAGCCTAGTTGGGTATTTTCAATGGAAATTCCATTGATTTTTTTTTTTCCATTGAATTGTAATCATAATTAAATCATTAAGATGTGGGAACTCATTCACAATGATTTGAAGTAAAAAACTCAGTTCCAGAGAAACTTCACTGAAACTTTACCACAGTGGTGGTGATAGGAACCAGACCTCCTGAAGAGTTTAATGCCTCTAAAAGCTCCCTCACAGAAAGTTATTACACAAATAGGTTCTAAATATTCTGCCTGGTGTCTGAGACATTATTTTATGATAGGTTTACAATTTTAGGTTTTGGCCTTAAACATTTTTTAATCCATTCATGGTGGAACAGTACATACATGCAATGTGCTGTGTGCAAAAGAGTCCTTATTTTTAAGATTAACCACTATTTTACCATCATCGACGTTAGATGAAGACGTGTACTTTCACTGGTGGTTTTGGATAGTAAGTATGTATTTGTGTTGTAGTCTTGGCGACACCTGGTTCCTATCACCACCATTGTGAAATATGAGTTGTTTTTCTGCAGTGAACCATTTCACATCAAACCACTCTGAATGACTTTGTTCACAGCTCAACCACTGAATTATGCAGAAATTCAGTGAAATTCACTTTTAAACGGGAGTTGATAGGGCTGAACAACATTGACACACCCTTAGGCCAACCTCAGTTTATTTATTATCAGTCACTTTAAGCACAAATTAAATTCCAAGCATATATTTTCTTTCTCTCTCTCTCTCTCTCTCTCTCTCTCTCTCTCTCTCTCTCGCTCTCACTCTCTAGGTGGTCTCAGAGGCCCAGAGCTTTTGCTGAAGAGGAACACTGTGAAATTGTCCGCAGAGAGACATCTTGAGAACGGGGTGAGTTTGGAAACCCTTTTTATAATAATATTTGACTCTTTAGGAGACGATTCAGTGCACCATGATATCATATATTTCACCACAATATGATAAAATTAGATTCTATACATATATAATAATACAGTACAATACGCCGTGATACAATACAGGGTAATTCAAAAAGATCCGATTTCAGAATGATTTGTTTCACTTGCAGTACAATGCAGTGAACTGTAAATGGTGTAAATGAGCATAAAATTTATTATGTAATTTTGCAAGTACTCAGTATGAACCTCCTCCAGATGTTCAGACAACATCAACGCCGTAGTCAAACTCATCCCATACTCGATTGAGCTTGTCAGGTGTCAGTGCGATTTTGGAGATCATCCGGTGTCGTTGGGAGTGGCACATAAACAGAATCCTTAACATACCAACGCAAAAAAAAGTGATGCTGGTGATGCTGGTGACCTTTTTCTTGGAACTGTTGGTACCAATGACGAACGCTCTGAGCTTTTGGAGGTTCACTGCCATACTGACAGTCAGAAACTCTATGACCCCCTCTTTCAATTAGATTGTGATTGGTTCCTAGACGCCTCACGGTTGAAAAAATATGGCGCTTTGAAATCGGATGAATCTTTTTGAATCACCCTGTACAGCACAATACAGTACAGAACGATACGCTCTGATACAGTACCTATTCCTACTTTCTGTACATACAAATATGGATGTGTTGCTTTTTGTAGATTGTCCCCCCTCGTATGGACATCACTCTGTCAGAGCTGCAGGAAATGGCATCGAGGCAGCAGCAGCAGATAAACGCCCAGCAGGAGCTTCTGGCTAACAAGGTGCACTTCTCGCCCTCGGAGACAGTGGGAGGGGCTTTTCCCCAAAGTGTTTCTAAAAGGCTCAGAGAGATTTATAGCATTTTTAGCTCCTTTCTCAGTCATAATACCGTGTTCAGACAGCATTCATAAAACCTGCGGATAAGCTTTCTGCGCTAAAGCACAATGGCTGAGAATGAGCCATAACCTCTACAGCCTTTTCTTTAGTTCTCCCACTGACTGGGCTGAAGATGGATTCAGTTTCACGCTGCTGAAATCATGGTGTGAACTGTTACACTTCATTTGTCTCATTTTCCATCACACTGTAAAGGGGAGATCCACCGATTTTTCAAAAATTCTGCAGAGTTCATTGGTTGACAGAGTCATTCTTAACATTATAGAGTTCATTGCACCTTTAGTGCACCATTTTACTGCTTATTTCACCTTTAACGCCACAACATTTTACTGCTTATTTCACCTTTAACGCCACAACATTATACTGCTTATTTCACCTTTAATGCCACAACATTTTACTGCTTATTTCACCTTTAACGCCACAACATTATACTGCTTATTTCACCTTTAATGCCACAATGTTATACTGCTTATTTCACCTTTAACGCCACAACATTATACTGCTTATTTCACCTTTAATGCCACAATGTTATACTGCTTATTTCACCTTTAATGCCACAACATTATACTGCTTATTTCACCTTTAACGCCACAACATTATACTGCTTATTTCACCTTTAACGCCACAAAATTATACTGCTTATTTCACCTTTAACGCCACAACATTATACTGCTTATTTCACCTTTAATGCCACAACATTATACTGCTTATTTCACCTTTAACGCCACATTATACTGCTTATTTCACCTTTAATGCCACAACATTATACTGCTTATTTCACCTTTAACGCCACATTATACTGCTTATTTCACCTTTAACGCCACATTATACTGCTTATTTCACCTTTAACGCCACAACATTATACTGCTTATTTCACCTTTAACGCCACATTATACTGCTTATTTCACCTTTAATGCCACAACATTATACTGCTTATTTCACCTTTAACGCCACATTATACTGCTTATTTCACCTTTAACGCCACAACATTATACTGCTTATTTCTCCTTTAACGTCACAACATTATACTGCTTATTTCACCTTTAACGCCACAACATTATACTGCTTATTTCACCTTTAATGCCACAACATTATACTGCTTATTTCACCTTTAACGCCACATTATACTGCTTATTTCACCTTTAAGCCACATTATACAGCTTATTTCACCTTTAATGCCACAACATTATACTGCTTATTTCACCTTTAACGCCACATTATACTGCTTATTTCACCTTTAACGCCACATTATACTGCTTATTTCACCTTTAATGCCACAACATTATACTGCTTATTTCACCTTTAACGCCACATTATACTGCTTATTTCACCTTTAACGCCACAACATTATACTGCTTATTTCTCCTTTAACGCCACAACATTATACTGCTTATTTCTCCTTTAACGCCACAACATTATACTGCTTATTTCTCCTTTAACGCCACAACATTATACTGCTTATTTCATATTTAATTCTATAGAATTATACAACTTGAATTACTTTTAATGCTTGATTCTAAAGTTTATTTTACCTTTAATGACATTATATAACTTTTTACACTTTTGATGCCAAATATTACACAGCATAGTGCAGCTTTAATGCTATAGCATTATGCTGCTTATTTCATCTTTAATGCCTTAACATTACACAGCTTATTTCACCTTTAATTCCATAATGCAGTTTATTTCACCTTTAATGCCACATTATACTGCTTGTTTTACCTTTAATGCCATAATAAACAACTTATTTCATATTTAAAGCTATAACGTTATACAACCTAATACACTTTTAATGCTTCATTATAAAGTTTATTTTACCTTTAATTCCTTAACATTATGCAGTTTATTTAATCTTTAATGCCATAACATTTTACAGCTTATTGCAACTTTAATGGAATGACATTATATAACATATTACACTTTTAATGCCAAACATTACATAGTTTATTGTATCTTTAATGCAACATTATACAGCTTTAGTTCAATAACATTATACAGCTTATCGCAGCTTCAATGTTGTAACGTTATACAGTTTACAGAACCTTCAATGCCATAACGTTACACAGCTTATTGCACCTTTAATGCTGTAACATGGCATTAAAGGTGCAATAAGCAGTATTTTTTGTAACTGCAGGATCTGAACATAAGCTGTATTTTTACCGTGGCCTCGCTGCATTTGTTCATTCGTGTTGCAGGAGCAGCGGCTGCGCTTTCTAAAGATGCAGGAGCAGCAGACGTCGGAGCAGGAGAAGCTGCGGCTGCTGCGAGAGAACGCCGAGAACCAGGAGGCCAAACTGCGGCGGGTCCGAGCGCTGAAGGGCCAGGTGGAACAGAAGCGCCTCAGCAACAGCAAACTGGGTCAGAACCTCCAGCACAGTACACACGGTCGGGGGTGGGGGGGTTAAAAGATAGAACGTTACAGGCTGTGGCTACAGAAGTAGTGAACCTTTAATATGAATTCAAGAATTTTTTAATCTTTAAGACAACAAGTAGTTTTGAGCAGCCAGTGTGGTGGCAAAGAGGGGCTACACTGAAGAATCTATAATAGAAGATTTGTTTGTTAGTCGCTGCTTAACTGCCGTGTGTTAGTTCATAGTTTTGATGTTTCTGGTGTAGCAAAAAACCAAGTGTAGATATTTTAGTCTTGTATTTGAGGTGGAAGCTCTGACTTGACTGGCTTGATATGATTCTAATAGCATCATTAATGAGGCTTAGCCAGCACTGAGCAGTTCATCAACTTCAGCAAATGAGATTTACAGCTAATGAACTGGAGAGAAAGTTTCATCATTACTGAAAACTCCCTTATTCTCTCTTTTTTGCACTTCATTTTTGCAAAAGAGGAAGGAAAGAAGGAAAAGAAGGAATTAATCAATGTTAAAATAGCATAACCACATTGTTAAAAGATCAAAGGAAAGTGAAAAAACAAGAGTTTCCAAAACTGGAAACTAGCAACCACCTGGAAGACCTGGTAGACACCAAAACTGCCCCCATCAGATAAACAGCACTTAAAGCTTTCATCTCTGAGAGAGAGGAGAAAATCAAGCTGCTTCAGATCTGAAAACATCCACAGGTGTTTCTGTCCATCCTTCCACTGTGAGAAGACGACTCAGCACTGTGGGTCTGAAAGGATGTGTAGCTGTTTGTGAAGAACCTCACTGAGAAAAGGAGACGGACAGATCAAACAAAGAAGCTGAACAATGGACTGACCACTCCAGAGTCCAGACCTCAACATCACAATGTGTTCGAAAGTGTGGGAAAGTGTGTGAGTCTCCTGAAAAGAATGGACGCTGCAATAAAGGCAAAGTGTGGATAAAGATTATAAAAAGCTGATGTAATATTTAGTGGTTGAGGCTTCTGTGTAATTTTCTGGTAAATATGTTTTCTGCGTTTTGCTGTCACTGAAAAATGAGTCATTTGTGCTTTTTGGCCGTTTTGACTGGAATTTAAATAAATAAAAGGCTTTTGCACAGTACTGTTTATATTTCACCAGCCAGATTTATGCAGTCATCTTTGATGGGTGGAGTCAGGAATCTTTCCTCTTACTCTTTCTCTCTCTCTCTCTCTCTCTCTCTCGCCCTGTAGTGGAGGAGATAGAGCAGATGAACGGGCTGTTCCAGCAGAAGCAGAGGGAGCTGGTGATGGCCGTGTCCAGAGTGGAGGAGCTGAGCCGGCAGCTGGAGATGCTGCGCCAGGGCAAACTTGACGAGAGTGGACACAGCTCGGCCGGGGAACTCGAGCGACTCTACAAGGAGCTGCAGGTCATTGATCCGTCCACTGAGACACTCTGATACTTCTCGTCTTCCTTGTTCACTCTTTAACTGGTTTATTTCAGCTAAGTTCAGTTAGATTTATTGGGGTAAGCATATTTAGACAAACAGTAGCTGAAGCATCAGTGACCGGTCCATTCTCTGAAAACAGCTTTCATTGTTACTGTTGTGAGATTAGACGAGAACCCATAGATATACATACCTAGCTGACGCGTTGGGTCCAGCCAGGCACAAACGACGGCGCCGCCATTTTGGGGCGGTCAACATCGCTGCTGGACTGCAGTACCATTAAGCTTATTTCATTTGTTAGTCTATTCAGGGCATCTTAACTTTATGTAGTAGTTATTTATTTACAGTGATGGTTAAAGCTGTGTAGCTGGGTAAGTTACAGCATTCCTTAATCCGTGTAGATGTTCATAATAGATTAATGTTAGCACCTTCTTACACAAACCTGAAGTCAGCTTCTTATTTGCCAGCTTCTTGTTGGAATTTTCCTGTTCCACCTTAAATGGTGCATCAGCCAGGTTCTTGTTGGAATTTTCCTGTTCTACCTTAAATGGTGCATCAGCCAGCTTCTTGTTCAAATTTTCCCGTTCCACCTTAAATGGTGCAGCTTCAGGCACCAGAAAGTGACGGCTGCACCATTTAAGGTGGAACAGGAAAACTCAAACAAGAAGCTGGCGAACAGGAGCCAACTTTAGCTTCGTCCTTCTTACTGTGTTTTGGGGGTTTATTTTATTGTTATGTGTATTAAGATTAGAAGTGATTCACACATTGATGGATCTGCTGATGTGTGTGAGTTTGTGTTTCTCGCGCTAAACTCGGTTTTTAACGCCAGGTGCAGACTGAATACTTTCCTGCTGGTCCGGACGGCTAATTATCACGATCACTTATTAAAGATATAAAAGCTACCGAGAGCCGTCAGTGCAGACTAGATTAATCTGTGTCTGAGGATTATAACTAAACAAATCTGGTGAAAATCGGTTGAGTAATAAGGAAGTTGTGGCTGATTTAATCCTGAGACTCTTCGTCTCTCAATACAAGTGAGTTTGATCACAAGCGGATCTTGACCTCTCCAACATGGCGGACGCTCAGACGTATCGCCTCAGATAGAGAACAACAGACAAGGTTTATCTGCGTATGTTTTTCTATGGAAGGACCATTCAACCTGTAGCACACAATGAATTTAAAGTGCATTATTCATTTTAAATGATATTCATTGTGTAATAAAGGTCGCAGTGTCCCGAGTTCAGTAGGCTACACACTTAAACAAGAGTTTTTCTCAAGGGTTTTTTTACTAGAGCTAATGGAACCAAGAGTTCTGTATAGAACCATTTCAGGCTTAAATGTTTTCAAAAATAGCACCAAAAGGGCTCATTATTGTTACAAGTTTGACATCATCATTATCAGTAGCAGAACACTTTTTGTTGCTATATAGAACCATTTCCGAAAAGGTTCTATATAGAACAATATGTAACACATTCCCCATCTGAAGAACCATTTCATAATGCAAAGAACCATTTTATAGAAATACAGCTCTATATATTCCATTGGCTCTACTAAAAAAACCCTGATCTTCTTTAAGTGTGTAGGGTGGTGGCAATGGCACCCCAGGTGGTTGCTAGGATGCAGCTTACATGTTGCTGTGGTATCTCAGGTGGTTGTTAGGCTGTTGTTAGGTGGTGTTCCAGGTGGTTGCTAGGGTGTTTAGGGTTGTTAGGTGCTTGGTGCAAATGTGTTAATAGGTGATAAGAGTGGAATCCTAGGGAGTTGCTAAATGGTTGTAGTAGTGTTCCAGGTGATTGGTAGGGTGTTGCTAAGTGGTTGCTCTGGTATTGCATGGTTGCTTGGTGCTTGGATTTCTGTGGGAAAAACTTAGGAAGAAACAGTTGCTTCGTTTGATGTCAATATTTTGAAATTTACAGGAGAAGTTATCAGACAAAGCAATTCAAAGAAGAATAGCAAACATAAAACAATATCTTAGAAACTACGCAAGATACCATAGCAACCACCTAGCAACCTCCTCACAAACCCATAAAAACACCTAGAGTGTTGTTGCTATAACCGGTGGTTATTCTGGTGTTGCTAGCTGGTTTGCAGCGATATTTCAGGTGGTTGCTAGGGCTTTGCGAGGTTGGTCCTCAGGTTATCCAAGGTCTTGGCAAGGGTCTTTCTAGGTGGGTGCTAGAGTATTCCTGGTCAGTGCTAAGTGGTTGCTGTGGTACTTCAGGTGGTGCTAGGGTGTTGCGAGGTGGGTTGCTATGGTATCCAAGGTGGTTGTTAGGGTGTTGCTATGGTATCCCTGGAGGGTGCAAGGCAGTTTTCATGCTGTTAGAAGTAGTTGCTAGGTTGTTATTGCAATGATAGCCCAGGTGTGTGCTAGGATGTTGATAACCAGTTGCTATGGTATCCCAGATGGTTGCTGAGGTGTTGCTAGGTAGTTGCTATGGTATCTCTAGTGATTGGGAGGGTTTTTTAGGTGGTGGTACCCAAATTTTAAGGCAGAGAGTGTCATCAGTGTGTAATCTCAGGATGTTTACATTGGCAACTATTGATTAAAATATTCTCTCTCTCTCTCTCTCTCTCTCTCTCTGTCTCTCTCTCTCTGTCTCTCTCTCTGTAGCTGAGGAATAAGCTGAACCAGGAGCAGAGTGCTAAACTGCAGCAGCAGAGAGAAAGCCTGAGCAAACGCACACAGGAAGTGGCCGCTATGGACCGTAGAGTGGCCGAGCTTCGCGAGCGGCTGTGGAAGAAGAAGGCCGCTCTGCAGCAGAAAGAGAACTTCCCTGTGAGTGGACAACACAGTGCTGCTGACCACGTAGGGAGAGTACAAGTTTGTTGCAGGGAAAAAATTATGAATGATGTAATGACATACATTGAAAAGTCCATAAAAATGTTCTTAAACGCAAATATTGGGGGGGAACAAGATGTTCTCATTTTTTTCTCTTTCAATTTTTTAAGTTATATAAGTTATGTGTTAAGTAGCCTGTCAATATCATTTATATTTTACAGCCAGATTGCTTGCTTTTTTAGTTGAATAACTCATGAGAATAAGTAATATTTTTGAGAAAATATGTTGTCATTTAGAGACAGTAAATCAAAATCTTTAGAAAATAATTCAATCTTTGACATATTAAGTCAAATATTAAGTCAAAAATTGTAGAAATTTTCCAAAGTCAGTGTTTTCGATATATTCTGGTCTGCTAGCACTCACGTCCATAAGACTTACTGAAAATGTGCATTTTCCTTTTTCACCTCCCTCTTTCTCTTGCTCTCCCTCCTCCAGCAGCCAACTGACGGCCACAGCTCTCAGCCTCCTGTCGGTCAGTCCAGAGTAGCCGCAGTTGGGCCATATATCCAGTGCCCCCCTCCTCCACTTCCTCCCAGACAGGAGGTCCTGATAAAGCCGGCCTACCCAGACGGCACTGCTACACTGCCCAAACCACTGGCCAAACCCACCGGTACGCTCCACAGCAGCGCTCTTCACTCCCAATCACACACACAGATACGGTGCAATGGTTAAGTAACAGTAGGGATGATCAGATGGCGATTCAGATACATATATGAGTGTCCAAACTCATATTGTTTACTTATTCGCATATTTGAAATAAGGCTTGTGCAGTTTGGAATTCAAAAATGAAATAAATAGTTTTTAACAAACAGCTGATAATGCAGCTCATCTTAAAGGGCAGTTCAGCCTAAAAGAAGCTTTAATGATATTTTCTTGTGTTACGCAATATTCTGTAGCACAGCCCTCGTGAATTTATATCTTTTATGTGTTTTTCATCCATCCATGCTGTCCCACTACAATACCCAGCATGCATTACGCATCATACAACCACTATCCTGACTGCTAGTTTAGCCACTAGAGGCTAATGCATACAGAGCTGATAGTCAGATCCTTAGCAGTAAGAATTTGTAAGAATATTATAATGTAATAAAAAATTTATAAGATTCTTAAACTTGTTTCTAGACATTTTCGACCGAAGTCATTTTATTTCGTGAAATTTTACTATAATAGTGGATAATGTTGCTTGTTTTAAGGAACAGTGCTTGAAACAAGTGAAATGATCTGCCAATATTGAGAGATACTTAATAGAATGTTGCTTGGTGGTTGCTATGGTATTTCTGGGGGAGGCTAAGTAGTTGTAGTGGTATTTCAAGTGGTTGCTAGGGGGGGTTGTTAGGGTGTTACTATAGTATCCCTGGTGGATACTTGGCAGGTGGTTCCAGATGGTTGCTGTGGTGTTTGTAGGTGGTTAATGTGGTTGCTAGAGTGTTGCAAGGTGGTTGCTGTAGTGTTCCAAGTGGTTGTTAGTGCTGTTCGTGGATGCAATGATATCCCCAGGTGTTTGCTAGGATGTTGCTATGGTATCCTAGATGGTTGCTAAGGTTTTGCTCTGTGGTTGCTATGGTGTCTATGGTGATTGCCAGCATTAGTACACCATTAAAAGGAAGGCAGGGAAGCATGTGTGTAATGTCACAAAAAACAGATCTCTAATTTAAGATTTTATGTTTTTTGTGATTTTGTTAATATTTCTCATTGTTAAAAGATTATTATAAGGTTATTTAATGTATTTCCGGACATTTCTTTACTTAAGTCACTCTATTAAGTCTATTTAGATTACAGCTTAATTGCCTTGTTCATACCAGTCTGTCTTTGTGTAGTTGTGTCATCACATAACAACATGGAATAGTCTATTATAACCATGACTTGGGGGGCACATTAAAATAAATATAAATAATCACTAAGTAACATTTTTAAAATGTCTATGTACACCGATCAGGCATAACATTCTGACCACCTCCTTGTTTCTACGCTCATTGTCCATTTTATCAGCTCCACTTACTATATAGGTGCAGTTTGTAGTTCTACAGTTACAGACTGTAGTCCATCTGTTTCTCTGATACTTTGTTAGCCCCCTTTTACCCTGTTCTTCAGTGTTCATGACCCCCGTGGACCCTTACAGAGCAGGTACTATTTGGGTGGTGGATCATTCTCAGCATTGCAGTAACACTGACGTGGTGGTGGTGTGTTAGTATGTGTTGTGCTGGTCTGAGTGGATCAGACACAGCAGTGCTGCTGGAGTGTTTAAACACTGTGTCCACTCACTGTCCACTCTATTAGACACTCCTACCTCGCCAGTCCACCTTGTAGATGTAAAGTCAGAGATGATAGCTCATCTGTTGCTGCACAGTTTGTGTTGGTCATCCTCTAGTCCTTCATCAGTGGTCACAGGACGCTGCCCACAGGACGCTGTTGGCTGGATATTTTTGGTTGGTGGACTATTCTCAGTCCAGCAGTGACACAGATGGACTACAGTCTGTAATTGTAGAACTACAAAGTGCACCTATATAGTGTATATATATATATATATATATATATACATAGAGGCTATTTTAATTGTAATTTATCACTTCTATTGTCATCGTTATTTCCATGTAAGTGTTGTGCCACTGTAAACCCCTCCCTCCTTTACCGACGGCTCCTTCCCTTTTTCACCCTCAGGTCTCCAGGCAGGCAAAATCTCCAAGCTCTCTGACTGGAGCTCCAGCGCTGAGGTGAGCAGTGTGGGCGGGTCCCAGCGTGGCCACGCCTCCACACTGCCGCGAATGAGTAGCCACGGCTCGACAGAGAAAGGTACCAGCACACACACATAAACAAACACGCTTAGAACACACAGTGGCAGAGGATGCTTCATGAAGCACAACTTATATCTGATCAAATTCAGTCGTCAAGACGTGTTTGGTGTCTGAAGTTGTCAGAAGATCGAGAGTTTGATGCCCGGCGATGCCACAGAGTCCCAAAAAGCATATTCTCGCTCTCTTTGGGGGGTAGGATGGTCCTCCCTCTCCCACCATCATCACCAGGCATCTGTTAGCTGACATAACAGAATTAGCGGTTAGCAGTCTCCTCCAAGCGTGTTGAGCTGTCCAGTGACGTTGCGTTAGCGGCAGTTTAAAAAGATGTGGTATGTTCACATGTATCAGAGGACACACATGCTAGCCTTCATCCTCCACTGTACACTCTTTTAAAAAAGATGGTCCTTCAAGGGTTCTTTAGTAAAGAAAATAGTTCTGTATAGAACCATGAACACTCAAAGAACCCTTTGCATGATTAAAGGGTTCTTTGCTTCATGAAAGGTGATGGAGAATGTGCTGTAGATGGTTCTATATAGCACTAAAAAGGACGATGTCAAGCTTGTAACAACAGAAGAACCCTTTTAGGTGCTACAGAGAACCCTTTTCAAAATAGCTTCTATATAGAACCATCTATAGCACATTTATGCACATTCTCCATCTGAAGATCCTTTAATCATGCAGAGTGTTCCTTTGAGTGTTCATGGTTCTATATAGAACCATTTTCTTTACTAAAGAACCCTTGAAGAAACATCTATTTTAGGAGTGTATGACACACTGTTATCTATAAAAATGGACAAAAGTACAGACAGAATTCAGGTTTCCAGGTCTGTTTTTCGCTATGCTGCCTACATCTGTCCATTTGATGGAAAGTTGTATGTTATGCAGTTTGTACAATCATCCAGTTACCTTGTTAGCTACATTAGCCTTGTAGCTCCAGTGCAAAACTAAAGAAGCAAACCTCAGACACCAGACATGCCTTGGCTGAGCTCCACTTGGGAAAACTGAGAAAAGCTCCCTGTGTGCAGAATGTCCATTCAGATCTATACTGTGGGCTGCAGCGGTCAACAGTTATGCAATGCTAACAGTGCCTTCCTCGTTTGTGCAGACCCTGAAGCTGATGTGAAGCCACCACCGCTTCCCTTACGGAAGAACCAGAGCAGTGAGGACCTCCTGAGGGATGGGCAGGTACTACACACAGACACACACACACACGCGTTTGTCTTGCTATACATATGAGGACATCCATGGACTGTTGATTTTTGTGTTACTGTAGCTATGTAACAGTACACCTAAACCTAACCCTAACCTTAACCTCAGTATCCAAAAGGCAGTTTTTCTGCTCTTTTAGTTTTCAAATAAACAAAGTAATTGTGGTGAAAACAACACATGCGCCAGTGAGGACCAGCAAAATGTCCTCACTTGAGTAATAATTTAATATGTTCCTATCATAGTGAGGACATGGGGTCCTCACAAGTATAGCACTACAAGAACACACACACACACAGATGAGATGTTCCTTTCCTTTGAGAAATGACCATCAAGCTCCATGCTGCTTAATGCCCAACTACTTAACTACCTCTGCTTTTGAAGTTACAGTCGTATGCAAAAGTTTAAACACTTTGCAGTCAAATGACGTTTTTGTTGATTTTTTAAGTGAAAACAAGTGAACACATCCTCTACAGAGAACACACTGCACATTTTAATATACAATTACTGTTTATTTGCTGAGCTACATTTCATTTTTTTTCTTTTTTAAGATGTCAAATTCAGCAAATAAACAGTGTTTGTATTAAAATGTGCAGTAGTGAGTTTTCTATACAGGATGTGTTGAATTATTTTCACTTAGAGAATCAACCAAACGCTATTTGACCAGGGGGTGCCTAAACATTTGCACACAACTGTATTTAACATGTTATAGAAACAGTTTTGTCTCAGGATTAAGCCAGATTAATGATTCATCTCACAAGACTAAACATAAGTGTACAATGACGTAGTAAACAAAGTCATTGGCTTTCTGCAAAATCGGTCTTCATAGAGTAACGTAGAGACACAGTGACTACGACACGAATGTAGCCATTTTATTTACTGTCTGACAGAGGTGTGGACTCGAGTCATATCACTTGGACTCGAGTCACGAATTTGCTGACTTTAGACTCGACTTGAAAACCGAGAAAGACTTGGGAAAGACTTTGACTTCAACACCAGTGACTCGGACTCTGACTCGCACTTGAGCGTCGTGACTCGAAAAGACTCGTGAAAGTGGAAGAATCGTGGAGAGTCTGACTGCAGACGGCTACACTGTCGGTTACTTTTCATATGAATGACTTCGTTTCCTGCCGTTAATTGAATGAACAGCACCGTCGTCAGATGTCTGTCACTGTGTTTATGCTCGGTTTATTTTATTTTGGAAGACGAGAGACGCGCTAGAGCTCAAGTTCACCTCCATAAGCTGGAAACAAGCGTCAGCATCAATTTGCCTTCAGCACTTTGCTGTTGTCAGAACAAAACCTCGTATCTCCAAAATGGTAACTTTTCAGGAGAAGGAAAAAACATACTCTACTTTTAATGTAAGTCAATGGAACCAGACTTTTTCCAAGTCATTTTGAGTCATTTCTTTTAATCCATCCATCATGAAATTTACATACAATGTAAAGAACAACAGGTATTTTCAAATTATGTCAAAAACTGAAAAACGTCAGAAATAGAGATACGAGGTTTTCTTCCGACAACAGCGACTTAAACTCTTACTGGAGAAACTTAGCAGGCGAAACAACTATTTTCCCCATGGTAGCAGAACAAAAGAAACACAGCGTCTCTGTTTGACTGATTTTAACAGCTTCTGCAGGTAAAACAAGTGAAACCTTCACCACAAGGCTGAAGTTGACTTGTTATACGCCAGCTTCATATTGGAATTTGCTGTTCCACCTTAAATGCAGCAGCAGGTAAGCGCCAGCTGCACCATTTAGGGTGGAATGGAATTCAAACTCAAATAAGAAGTTGTTGGCGAAAAAGTGAACTTCAGCCTCGTCATTCACCATCATTTAGTTGTCTTTTCTGTAAACTTTGTTCAGCTCAGTCGTTTTGGCTTCTGTTGTCGCCTAAATTCAATTTAAACTAGCGGCTGTTTTTAGTTGGCAGACCTAGTTTGTAATTTAATCCTATGCACCCAATGTTGCCACAAACACTTTTGATGGATTTCCTTATATTTTGGAAAATATTCAGAATATTCTGGTTCTATATATATATATATATATATAGATGCTAAAGCAGCTGCCCATTGGCTTCTGTTATAAGTGTGGTTGTAATAGGCTTTCTGTTCTCTAGGTACAGAAGACAGTACTGTGGTAATCGACTGTAATGCAGCAGATAGAAAACTGTACCTTTAAGGGCTTCATTCCCAAACTGCCCTCTGTAACAAAGCGTTGTGTTTCTTGTCTGTCTGTCCAGTGTGTTGGGAAGGTGCCTCCTCCGGTGCCCAGCAAACCAGCAAAGCAGTCCAACTTCACTAAGCCCTGCTTCAGCACCGGCACTTTCCCAGGCAAAGCCAGAGCAGCCCCCCAGCTCACGCCACCATCCACTCACAGCCAGAGGGCTCAACTGCCCCCATCACATCATGGCCTGCCCTTGCCCCTACCCCCCAAACAAGACACCCTGCCAGCAGCCACCGTGCGCCCCTTCAGTGTGGAGGGGTCAGCAGGGAAAGGAGCCGTCACCCCCCCGACCCTCCACAAGCCACAGACGCTGGCGGCCAGCTCCATCTACTCTATGTACACACAGCACAGCTCGCTGGCTAAGGGCTACCAGGGCCAGAGCACGCTGACCCGCTCCCAGCCCCGACGTGAGTACTGCCATCTCTGCTAACACCACAGAGTTTAAGATACAGTCAGCAGGCAGTGCTGCTAATGCTGCTAACACCTCAGAGTTAAAGATACAGTCAGCAGGCAGTGCTGCTAATGCTGCTAACACCTCAGAGTTAAAGATACAGTCAGCAGGCAGTGCTGCTAACAGCTCACACCTCAGAGTTAAAGATGCAATCAACAGTCTGTGCTGCTATCACTGCTAACATCTTAAAGATACACTCAGCTCATTTACTTTCACTTTACATTGGGAGGTTCAAGTTATCAGACTTTTCCTGTTTGTTTAAAAGGCCAGCTTTGACAAAAACACGGCAAAAATGTAAAAGACGTTTTTCTTTCTGTGGAACAACGAAGTAATAACACGAAATAATAACGTCAGATTATACTGAAATATCTGTGCTTTAATGCAGAGCAGGAAATATTTTATTATGATTGGATGAAAAGTAAAAATAGGTTACGGAGGTGACCCTATACAGTCAGCACCGGCGGTGCTGCTGCTGTTCTGTACGCTGAGCCGGAGTTAAAGACACTTCCTGCTGCAGCAGAGTTAAAGATGCAGTCAGTAGCGCGAGCGCTGTTATCGCTGCTGCCGTGCTGAGTTCAGGCGGTAAAGTCGGCCCTCCGGCAGTGACATTTTAATAACCGAGGAACAAAGAGCTCATTGAAGAAAGCGAGGCTGGATATTTAAAGCGCGTCTGCAATTCGCTTTACAGCATGAAATCATGAGCGTGACTCATCCGCATCAGCCAGCTGTTACTGAGTGGGAGAGAGAATGTGAGGCAGATAGAGAGAGATAGAGGTAGAGAAAGAGAGAGAGAGAGAGAGAGAGAGAGCAGCAAGAAGAGTAGATAGTGACATACAGTCTAACCGTACGTTCACACCGACCGCGACTTTTTGCCTCTTGTCGCCCAAAATGCTGATCACTCATCGCCTGTGGGTGTTTCTGAACTCTAACTGACCGTTGGTTGCCATGGTTTCACTGACACCAAGCACAAATCAGATGCATTCTCACCACAAATAAGAATCCTGGTGAGAAATCGCTGGTGTGCTTATTTTTATTTAATCCCTGTGTCTATTTGATCTTTGTTATTATTATCTATTTGAGACAAACGCACCACCACCATTATTCCACCTATAGTAGGAACAATTACCTAGGAACCAAAGATTGAGCATAATGTTTCACAGTGGCAGGGTTAAAGTGTGTACTACGCTGCTCAATTCCTATTGGTAATCGCCACATCGCTTCGCTCGTAAATCATAGCCGACACTCTTAAAAAGAGAGTTCTTTAAGGTTCCCCAAAAAAGATGGTTCTTTAGTAAAGACAGTCATTCTATATAGAATCATGAACACTCAAAGACCCATTTGTATGCTAAATGGTTCTCTGCATGGTGAAAGGGTTCTTCAGATTGATGGAGATTGTGTTGAATATGGTTCTGTATAGCACCAAAAAGGGTTCTTCTGTTGTTTACAACATCAAGCTTGCAACAGTAGAACATTTTGGTGCTAAAATAAAATCATTTTCAAAAAGGTGCTATATGGAACCATATATAACACATTCACTATAAATCTGAAGAACCATGCAAAGAACTTTTTAAGCGTGCAGATAAGACATTGAGTGTTTATGGTTCTACACAGAACCATTGTCTTTACTAAAGAACCATCTTTAAGTGAGCACAATTGCAAAAACAGAAGTTTTAAGAGAGGGACGCTGCACCTAATAAGAGCTTATGAGCCGCCTGTAGATGAGTTAGACCAATCAGAGGCAACCAAACCTCCCTGTGTTGTGACATCACAACCACAACTTACTGGCGGTTTGGCACAGTACGTTCAGGGGTCGAGCCTCAAGCCAGAAAAGGTGGACATTCTGGTCTTCTTGGCCAAAATAAATCAGGCCTGAATCTCGATTTATAAAAAAAAATCGCAGTTTAAATTTCAGTTGCAATATTAGTTGGAAAAATCACGATTAGATATTTTCCCCAAATCGTTCAGCCCTACTTAACACACATAAAAATGATTCATTATTAAATACTACATATGAATACTTTGGGCACTTTAGTATATTAATGCTATATGTAAACCCAATATATTACAACATTATAGTGTTTATAGATTTTTTTCCACCTGTAATATATAAAGCGCACTGTAAGTTATATTTAAAAAGCTGTTAATCTGGTCAGTAAGTGTTTAAAGCAATGTGCATAGGTGCCTAAGACTTGTGCAGAGTGTCGCAGAAAGAAAGAGGGAGAGAGAGAGAGAGAGAGAGAGAGACATTTCCCGACTGACTTTTTGTTTTTGCATATCGCTAAAGTAACGAGCACACAAGCAAATAGGTGGTTGCCAGATCAATGTGGTGTTCCTGCAGCTACATAGGGACATTGTGCCTCTGAGGGGAGCGTTATGCAATACTCCAGCTGTCTGTACGGCACTGCTGTTTTACATACTGCATCTACAGACTGTCATGAATGTGTATACAGGTGTTTGTTTACTTAATTGTGCATACACTGATCAGGCATTACATTCTGACCACCTCCTTGTTTTTACGCTCACTGTCCATTTTATCAGCTCCACTTACTATATAGGTGCACTTTGTAGTTCTACAGTTACAGACTGTAGTCCATCTGTTTCTCTGATACTTTGTTAGCCCCCTTTTACCCTGTTCTTCAGTGGTCAGAACCTTCATGGACCCTCACAGAGCAGGTACTATTTGGGTGGTGGATCATTCTCAGCACTGCAGTAACACTGACGTGGTGGTGGTGTGTTAGTGTGTGTTGCGCTAGTCTGAGTGGATCAGACACAGCAGTGCTGCTGGAGTGTTTAAACACCTCAGTGTCACTGCTGGACTGAGAATAGTCCACCAACCAAAAATATCCAGCCAACAGCGTCCTGTGGGCAGCGTCCTGTGACCACTGATGAAGGAATAGAGGATGACCAACACAAACTGTGCAGCAGCAGATGAGCTATCGTCTCTGACTTTACATCTACAAGGTGGACTGGCAAGGAGTGTCTAATAGAGTGGACAGTGAGTGGACACAGTGTTTAAAAACTCCAGCAGCACTGCTGTGTCTGATCCACTCAGACCAGCACAACACACACTAACACACCACCACCACGTCAGTGTTACTACAGTGCTGAGAATGATCCACCACCCAAATAGTACCCGCTCTGTGAGGGTCCACGGGGGTCCTGAACTACAAAGTGCACCTATATAGTAAGTGGAGCTGATGAAATGGACAGTGAGTGTAGAAACAAGGAGGTGGTCATAATGTTATGCCTGATTGGTGTAGTTGAGGCACTGAGTTGCCAGTCTGGTAAACATCCCTACCTTGTATGTACACCTGTCTTATTAGAATCACCTACCGCACTTTGTAGGTGTATAGTTACTGACTGTAACCCTGTCCACCAATGAAAAGGGACCCCCATAGGACTACTACTGACCACATATTATAGGTGATGGACCATTTCCAGAACCGCAGTGACATGAATGCTTTGGTCAACATCAGTTATTCATCACAGTGGCGTAAAGAAAAGCACAGAAATGACCGTTTTTAATTTTTTCATGCCACGCGAAAAGGAGCCACCCTCTAGTCCTTCATCAGTGGTCAGTTTCTGTACACATACTGCAGATCGGACACCCCTCACTATGTGTCTTATACTATTGTTCTGTTGCAGTGTATGGAAAGCCAGTCATACCGTCCACCGGCGGGCAGCACTCCCACTCCCAGGACAGCAGCTACCCTGAGCGAGCCGCCACCACGGAGGCAGACCAGGTGGACCACTGCGTTAGCGGTCCTGGGGAGGGTCCAGAGTCTGAGCGTGCGCCGCGGCCGCTGAGCCCCACCAAACTGCTGCCGTTCCTGTCGCACCCGCACCGGCTACAGAGCGACGCCGACCTGGAGGCACTGCGGAAGAGGCTGCACCATGCGCCACGGCCCCTGAAGAAGCGCAGCTCCATCACGGAGCCTGAGGGGCCCGCAGGCCCAAACATCCAGAAACTGCTCTACCAGAAGACCACGCTTGCTGCCATGGAGACACCCGACAGGGAGGGGTCAGGCAGTGCCCCGGGACAAGAAGACGAGGCAGGGAGGGCGCAGAAGGAGGACGACTCCGTCCCACCTCCACTGCCCCCACGCTCCCCTGTCCCGGACGAGAGTGGGAGGGCTGAACAGCACCCCCTGCTGGAGGAGGACGAGCAGGAAGGCGGCGGCCTCATTCCATCCGAACCGTATACAGAGGAGTATCCCCCGTACCCGCCACCTCCCTACCCCAGCGCAGGGGACCAGGATGGCCCAGGGGAGGACAGCGGCAGCATGAAGGCTCCGGAGGTCACGGGACAGGTCACACTACCCCCGGTACACCCTGCTGTGTTCTCTATTGCTCTGTTTTTCAAGCCTACACTCAATAGGTTCTCAAAGATTGAGAGATCTTTAGGAAAATCTTTGAGACGTAAGTACAGTAGAGAATTCGCACATCATTTGGCATAATAAGTTTTGGTGTTGCAGCATTTAGAGGCATTAAAGGGCTCATATCATGAGTCTTCCTCACGTTAAAAGAATAAACAAATAAATAAAGACATGGACATAGAAGGTAAACATTATTAAAATTTAAAAACATACAGTCTATACAGTCCATAAATGGAAACTAAGCCAAGTAGTGAATTCATTGCTTTTATGATATCATGGAAAACTGACATGTTTACAAATTACTGTCTATTCACCCTACAGCAGGTTAGCCCCGCCCATTCATGCTGAATGTGGGACAATAGAGGACAGCCAATCAGAACAGAGATCATTTAAATATGTAATTCTTAAAGGCACAATAACAAAAACAGCCTACTTACTTCTAATTAAGCGGTTGAAAAGTAGTCATGTAAAAATGACTTATGACAGTTTTTGGAACATAAAACCACACAAATGTCATAACTAGACTTCAGAGGGAAGAAAATAAAATGCGAGAAAAATGTAGGATGTGAGCCCTTTAAGTGCTTTAGACATCTGGTTCCTATCGCCGCCACTGTAAACAGTTCTGACTTGCCAAGTTTTTCAATAGAGCATTTCACTTCAAGCCGCTCTGAATGACTTCATTTACATCTTAATGATTTAATTATGCAGAAACCTTGAAACTCCCCTTTACACAGTCTTGGCGGTTAAGTGACTTTTTTGTATAGATTTTTAAAGATTTTACAGACGCACAGTGCTAACAATTTTCTATTCGTCATACCAAGAAACTTCAGGCATGTCCCGGCTGATCGACTACATCTGTGCTAACAGGAAAACAGTAAAGCCATGGCTTTAAGTGACAGTATTATCTTCACTCTCTGCTGAAGAGACAGAGGCGGACAGATTAAGACAGAGACAGCAATTGGAACTAATACGGAGAGAGCGAGAAGGAGCGAGTCGGGTCAGCACAGACTCAGATGAACCCTCCATTCTGGTTCCTTTCCGAGGCTGTTGCTTAGCAACTGACCACACTAAGATCCTAATCACTGCCTGCGGACTCATTAAACATTGAAGTGGGAGAGGAATGCCGGCCCGCAAGTGTCAGCAGTGTTTATTACTCCACTTAAAAGAATGAATCATCATTCGCTCACCCCCAAAACCTCAGCCTCCACAAAGTGGTCTCACACGCTAGACAGTGGGGATGCTCTGATACCACTTCTTCTTTTTCCGATGCCGATACCTGATCCTTAAATATCGGCCGATACTGAGTACCGATACCAATACTAACTCTGTTTAACATAGCTAGCTTTTTACATACCCCTCTATTAAATATTTTTTAATATTTTATTTTGATAAAAGCCGTGTGTGTCACAAATAAAACACACTAAGCTTGACCGAATGGAATTTGCTGGTTGGATTTATGCATCTGTCCATTTCTGCATGTGCCTGAACTCTGCTATGCATGTTCCGCCTCTCTCTACAGGGGAAGAGGACGAACCTGCGGAAGGTGGGCTCGGAGCGGATCAATCACGGCATGAGGGTGCGCTTCAACCCGCTGGCACTGCTGCTGGACGCTTCTCTGGAGGGAGAGTATGACCTGGTGCAGAGGATCATATACGAGGTGAGGACGAGGGTCAAGCTTTCAGACCCTCTGTAGTTGTGAGAATGTGAGTGCCGGCAAACATGCACTGACACTTTTGTTCGTCACACTGGATTCGGATGGCGAGGACGGTCGGACAGAACGCAGCGGTCACTCAAAAAGAGTTGCAGGTTGACCTGAAATCATCAGGAACAACAGTTACACAGAGAATAAGCGATCAACTGCACACCCTGTATAAACTCCTCTGCTAAAAAGTAAGAGCAGAGATGGACGTCTAAGATCTGCACCCAACAGTTTGGATGAATCAGAACTCATCTGGAGAGCTCACTTGTAGAGCAGGTACTATTTGGGTGGTGGATCATTCTCAGCACTGCAGTAACACTGGCCTGGTGGTGGTGTGTTAGTGTGTGTTGTGCTGGTCTGAGTGGATCAGACACAGCAGTGCTGCTGGAGTTTTTAAACACCTCAGTGTCACTGCTGGACTGAGAATAGTCCACCAAACAAAAATATCCAGCCAACAGCGTCCTGTGGGCAGCGTCCTGTGACCACTGATGAAGGACTAGAGGATGACCAACACAAACTATGCTGACACACATGAGCTGCTGTCTCTGACTTTACATCTACAAGGTCGACCAACAAGGTAATAGAGTGGACACAGTGTTTAGAAGAAACAGATGGACTACAGTCTGTAACTGTGGAACTACAAAGTGCACCTATACAGTAAGTGAAGCTGATAAAATGGACAATGAGCGTAGAAACAAGGAGGTGGTCAGAATGTTATGCCTGATCGGTGTATGTAGACCTGTTTTAAAGAAAAGCGCAGATATGACCATTTTTAATTTTTTCATGCCACGCGAAAAGGAGCCACCCTCTAGTCCTTCATCAGTGGTCAGTTTCTGTACACATACTGCAGATTTAACTGGACACCCCTCACTATGTGTCTTATACTATCGTTCTGTTGCAGTGTATGGACAGCCAGTCAATGTTATGCCTGATCGGTGTATATTAGTGTTTGAATACTTCTTATCGCTCACTGTTTATGCTTGTTTGTTATCTCTGGACAGGTGGAGGACCCCAGTCTGCCCAACGATGAGGGCATCACTGCACTTCATAACGCAGTATGTGCCGGACACACCGAGATTGTGAAGTTCCTGGTGCAGTTTGGAGTGAACGTCAACGCTGCTGACAGCGACGGCTGGTGAGAGGACGACGACTTTAAAGAATAAAGATCACATTTACACAGTTGTACTGGAGCCAGACTGTAGCGTAAACTGCAACACTAAACCACAGTGCTTCTCTCTCTCGTGATCAGGACCCCTCTGCACTGCGCCGCCTCCTGTAATAACGTACAGGTATGCAAGTTCCTGGTGGAGTCTGGAGCCGCGGTGTTCGCCACCACCTACAGCGACATGCAGACGGCAGCCGATAAGTGTGAGGAGCTGGAGGAGGGATACGCTCAGTGCTCGCAGTTCCTCTACGGTGAGCTTTGCTGATCTGATCTGGAACAAAGAGTAAATTCCAAGGAAAAAAACAGAACGTGGACACTTAATCCACACCTAACCATCCTCAGAGCACTGCTGTGTGGCGGGTGCTGAAGTGTGTTTGTTTGGTTGTGCAGGCGTGCAGGAGAAGATGGGCGTGATGAACCGGGGGGTGGTGTACGGTCTGTGGGATTATGAGGCCGAGAGTGCTGATGAGCTGTCCTTCACTGAGGGAGACTGCATGACCGTTCTGAAGAGGGACGACGGGCAGGAAAGTGAGTGGTGGTGGGCTCGCTGCGGAGACAACGAGGGGTACATCCCCCGCAACCTGCTCGGGGTGAGCGTCTGCATTGCACTCTGTCTGTTTTACAGATTCTAAATGAATCCATAAATTATTAGAAACACCCATCTTGTGCATCCCTTCACTGGCCACTTTATCAGAAACACCTATACTGTGCTTCCACTCACTGGCCACTTTATTAGAAACACCTATACTGTGCTTCCACTCACTGGCCACTTTATTAGAAACAGCTATAGTGTGCTTCCACTCACTGGCCACTTTATTAGAAACAGCTATAGTGTGCTTCCATTGACTGGCCACTTTATTAGAAACAGCTATAGTGTGCTTCCATTGACTGGCCACTTTATTAGAAACAGCTATAGTGTGCTTCCACTCACTGGCCACTTTATTAGAAACAGCTATAGTGTGCTTCCACTCACTGGCCGCTTTATTAGAAACTCCTACCTTGCTTCCACAGTGACCAGCTTATGTTTATGTTAACGTCCTCCTCTCTACAGTTATTATTTTACTAAAATAAGCTAATCTTCCCTTTGCAGCTGTATCTGCGGATCAAGCCCAGACAGAGGAGTTTGGCCTAAATCTCTCTCCAGGATCTTATGGTTCAGTCCCAAACCGGCGTGCCCTAATATCTCGTGCACACTTCACAGTGAAAGCAGTGTTACTGCACACTGGAACATTCGTGAGCTTCAACTGCTGTGACTGTGTTTTTTTGTCATTTGTTGACTTTGTTAATTTACAAGCACAACGGGAAAAACGATTGTAAGTGGGCCTCAGAAGCGTCTTCACTTCTTTTGTAGAAAAAAGGATTTTTTTCATGTAGCGAAGTCTAATAAAGGTTTGTTGATATTGCTAAAGCCTTTTGTAGATGCTGAAAGACAGGACTAACGTGCACAGCTGGGCTAAGTAAGATGTGGAAACCATTCATTATTTATATAACTCTATAAAATGATTTGTACAGATGTATAGAAGCGATGACTCCGGTGCCCTTCATCCACTGTGAGGACTTTATCAGGTTTCATGTTTGTGTGTAACGTCCTTGTCTCTTTAAATGAATGTAGCTCTGTGTCACTGCTGTGCGAGGCTCTGAGGCTCTGAGATGCAGGAGTTCTTTTAAAGGAATACTTCAGCGAATAATTCAGTTTACCCTTCAGCCCAAATGTAGTCAGTCAGCCAGGACGTGTTTGGTGTCCAAAGGCTACGTTCACATCACCAGGTTGAAGTGGCACAAATCTGATTTTCTGCCCTAATGTGACTCACATCTGATGTTTTCAGTGGACACACAAATCTGATCTTTTCAAATCCGACCTGAGCCACTTTAGCTATGTTCACATTACAAGCCTCATTTCTCAAATCTGATTTTTTCCCTCAAATCCGATCTCTCTGACACAATGGTTCACACTCGTTTAGGTAAGTGACTCACATCTGTCATTAATGTGACGAACCGGCGTCCTGAAATGACCCTCATGAGCACATCCTACTCAGTAACGTCGCGTGAAAGAATCACAATCATCATCACAAACTAACGAGCAGAACGAGCTTCGCTGAGAAGATAATTAACTCTGATCAGCTCTCAGCTTCATTATTAGAGCGAGACGAAGGAGAAAAAGGTGAGATGAGCTGCTTTTCCACTGTTTACAGGCTTTAACTTCTGTTCGGCGTTGTTTCCATGGTAACACTGAATGATGGTCACGCGCAGTGGAAAAAAGGCACATGAATTCTGATCTGAGCGTCACATTAAGGTCACATGGCCATGAATCGGATACGTATCCGATCTAGGACCACATATGAAAGTGGCTCAGGTCGGATTTGAAAAGATCAGATTTGTGTGTCCACACAGCCCTGAAACATACATCAGATCTGAGTCACATCAGGGCAGAAAATCAGATTTCATGTGCTTTTTTTCCACTGCGCCATCATTCAGCGTTACCATGGCAGCAGCGCCGAGCTGAAGCCCGTAAACGATGGAAAAGCAACACATCTCACCTTTTTCTCCTTCGTCTCGCTCTAATAATGAAGCTGAGAGCTGATCAGAGTTAATTATCTTCTCAGCGAAGCTCGTTCTGCTCGTTAGTTTGTGCTGATGATGCAGTGATTCATTCACGTGACGTTACTGAGTAGGATGTGTTCATGAGGGTCATTTCAGGACGCCGGTTCGTCACATTAATGACAGATTTGAGTCACTTACCTAAACGAGTGTGAACCACAGTGTCAGAGAGATCGGATTTGAGCAATGAGGCTTCTAATGTGAACGTAGCTAAAGTGTATAATTAAAATAATGACTTATGTCATCATAATGACTTACTCTCTTAAAATATTGACTTGCTACGTCAAATAATCGCTTCGTGTTTCATAATGACTTCCTATGTCAAAGTAATCACTTTCTGTGTAATAATTATCCTGAAATGATTATTTATTTTAGTAACTCGTTATTTTTACATCTCAAAAATTTCAAGGAAAAAGTCATTTTTACTTTAAAAGTTACTATTTCCAGAAAATCAGCCCTTTAATAAGTCAAAATTTTGGCATCCTAATGCTAAAAACAGAACGAACAGGCATTTTTTTTCTCCTCTGCCTGGCGGCAGTGAGCTTCCAGAGGAGCCACATCTGTTTCTTATTAATACTGTATTAAATATCTTGTATATTCCGTAAGAAAAGCTCGATACGTGTATCAATTTAATAACTGAAAAGCCCCCCCCAAAAAAAACCACCTTTTTAAAATGAAAATAGACGCTAACTCAGCTTTTATCACCTGGTACAGTCTGAGCAACCTTCGGTGCAAATGAGTCCTATGCCAATGCGTAGCTAGCACTCCGGAACAGTAGGAACCTCATTTGGACTGATACCGTCACCTTGAATTGCGAGAATCTCACAAACTAGCCAAATCAGAATCTCCACCAATTTCGGTGCGCTGAGCTACTGCATGCTACTAGAGACAAGATGAACAAGTGTTTGTTTCCCCACGGAAGCGCAGGGGTTCATCAAAGAACTAAACGTCAGTTAATCGAACGCCGTACCAATTATAGAATTTTACTGACTTTCTGTCTAAGCTTGCTTTACTTGTTAGCTACGTTAGCCTCGCTACAGAAAAACTACAGAAGAAAACTTCAGACACCAAACGTCTTTACTGACTTGCTACATTTGGGGTTCGAGAAAAACTGTGTAAATGAGATTGTTTGCCAAGATATTCCTTTTGTTCGATAGCGCACTGCCCGCAGTGACCACAGCTGGTCCTCAAACTCCAGTCAGGAACCTCCACAAATGGTAGCCCAGGTTTGAGTCACTGATTGAGTCTCCAACTGGTCAGTGTTTGTCTTCTAACAGCGATAAAATGACATTTAAAGGAATTTATCACTGGTGCTCAATGAGACGCAACCACAGAGCTGCGTGTTCACGGCCTCCTCAGATTAATAAATGCTTTCTACTCAAATCCTGCTTTTTGTGAGCCTCGATTTATTTGCAGTCGTCAAGTTTTTGGACTCTGTTTCTGTCTTTGTTCCGTTGGTCATGGACTTGTTAGCTTTGATTCAAAGGTTGTTGCATCTGTATTGGTTAAACCCACAACCCACTGAGCTCATACAGCATTCATCAAAGTTGTGTAAAAGAGAGCGCAGATGTAATGATGTACAGACTATTCTGCGTCTGATTCGAGAAACTTTTGTACGACGTGGAAACGATGATGATCAATCAGCTTTGGTGCGTGAAATCAAGCGCTGGCCTACCAGGCACCTCATTTATTTATCATTTACATGGAGCACGCCCTAATTCGTCCCTAATTTGGTAGGGAGCCAATAAAAAGACAGCACTCAGCTGCTCGTCAGCAAATAGCTGTGCTCGTAGGAGGAGTTTGAGGTTGCGCCACTCGCCCTACTGACCAAACTTTATGGTGATAAAATTACAACCACTGGAAACAATAAAACATGAAATAATAAATGAAATTTTTAAGACAGTACTTTGAGTGTGTAGTGGAAAATTTAATTTCCTTGCACCCGTCACCCGAGCCCCGGTGACCGTCACGAGAGCCGGCAGGAAGGCCTGGCCCGAATCCCAAACTCTGCCAAGGGACATGAGTGATGGCGTGAGGAGGACATCAGCGACCAGAGCGGGGACAGCGATGACGCCGACCACGAGAGCCACAAAGGCGGGATGCGAGTCCCGAACTCAGCCGCCCCGGCCCCGCCTCCTGTTCCATCAGCATCAGCTGGCTCTCATTAAGGGCGCCGTGAGCACCCGAGTCGAGAGGGAAAGAGAGCTCGTTGCTCCGCCTCCCCGTCAAAGCCCCCTCTCTGCAGCTCGGCCACCTGGGTCAAACGTAAGGCAAAATAAAGTGGCCTTGCTGTGGGACCGGAGGCGGCACCCAGGAGGCGGGGCTCGGGACTCCACTCGTGGACCTCCTCTCCCCGTCATCCTTGCGAGGCTTTGTCCTCCATCAGAGTTTGGGCCCCGCCTTCCTGCCGGCTCTCGCGGCTGCCATCGGTGCCTGGTGTATGAACACTGTATTACTGCAGTGTTTGACACCAGCTGTGTTCTGTATTCTTTATTTGGTGGGTGGAGTCAGTACTGAATAATAAAAGAACAGTGTAATGTCTTTAAATGGAACATGGAATAGTTACAGCGTTTGTTTATACCAACTAAAACAAGTACATCCACTTTTATACTGGGTTGCGATGTGCATGAATTATTCGTATTATTTTTATTTTCTATTTTTATTCTTATTACTTGTTTTGGTTAGTTAACCGCAAATCAAGCATTTCAGGTTAGTAAACTACTTCACTCAAATTTACACATTTCTATCGGACTTGAGTTTGATAGTACAGAAATGCCAAAGATAAAACTGATGAATAACAAAACTGGCTGAAATTTGCTTGTTTTACAATCTAATTTGATCATGCGCGACTTTGATGAATAAGATCTTGTGTCGCTTTATTTTTCAAAATTTCTCCAGAGTTAAATCTTGAGGATGTAAACCAAGTCATTCAGAGTGGTTTGGTGTGAAATGCCTCATTCTAGACAAACTTAGCGAGTCCGAATTGTTCACAGTGGTGGTGATAGGAACCAGACGTCCACCTCTAAAACCTCCCTCACAGAGTAATTACATGGAATGGTTATGAATATGTTGCCTATTGTTTTTAAATAAGATTTTGGCCTAAAACATACATTTTTAGATCCATTCATGGCAGAGAGGTGCATGCAGGGTGCTATAAGGCAAAGCAGTCACCAAACAAATTTACCACTGTATTCAGCATCATGTATAAATACTCAGAAATCACATGTAAGTTTACTGGTGGTTCTGGAAAGTGAATAAAATGACTATATTTGTGTAGTAGCCATGGCGAACCCTGGCTCCTATCACATATTTTCTGATGTAACTGATGTAATTTCCCCTTTAAAGGGACCAAAAGTAACCAAAGGTGGTCAGTTCGATTGATCTCCATTGCCCAAATACCTACTGCACTGAATACTGTACATAAAATGAGCTTTTCTTAGAAGCTAATCCACAATAAAACATCTCTTTATTACTTAAACAAGTTGCAGTGCATTTACAGTGCAGTCCACAGAAACCTTTCCCAGGATGCAAAGTGCATCCAGTTTCTTCATGCACGCTTCCATTATTGGATTCGCTTCTACAGAGCATGTAAAGCACAGCATGCAGTTATACCGGCCTAATGCTGTGCCACGGAATTCAAGACAGAAGGTTACTGGGATGAAACTTGTAGAAGGGTCATTCTATAGAAACGTCCATTTTTGTGTCCCTAGTGTTTACAAATATACTACACTAAAAAAAAACATGTTAGGGTTACAATTTCTTTACTTTTTCAAACAAAACAATGTTATTTTAACAATTACACCTTCTTGAGCCTCAATTTAGCAATATTGGTTTTTAAATCAATTATACAGAATTCCAAGCAACACAGAAGAGCTCGTCCTCTCAGTCATGTGTGAAGGCTGAGGCCATATTTTGAAGAAAAGAACGTTTTTCTCCAATTCTAACTACAATAATCTATACATGACTATGAAATATATAAATGAAATGACATAAAGAGAACAAATGTCAAGTAAATATTATAAAACATATAATGAAAGTTGTTCCCAGGAGTCGTGTCACTGGTGTTACCGCATAACAAAAAATCTCTTGAAATAAAAGTCACACTGATGACATCACTTGACTTCCTTTTACCTATTTTCTGAGGATCTATGAAGAAAAGCTCATGGTGAGTCCACTGTGTCTTTCAGTTATCAGAGATTTTCTCA